TTGACGACGACTCTATTTCGCCCCATCGAGAGACGACCCCCAGGAACTGCTTCACCATCAAAACTCCCCACGCAACGCGTCCGAACGACACCCGCCCCCAAAGCAACATGGGCGAACACACACACATGGGCAGGAGCATATCTGGAAGCATTCCCCTTAAGATTCGGATGAGAATCCAGTTGTAGAATTCTGCTGTTCTCGCAGTCGTAGTCGCATTCGCGATGACAGTCGCAGCGGCAACGGCAGTCGCAGTCACAGCTCAGCCTCAGCCTGCCTCAGCCTCAGCCTCAGCCTGCCTCAGCCTCAGCCTGCCTCAGCCTCAGCCTCCGCCTGCTTCAGCCTCAGCCTCAGTCTGCCTTCAGCCTCGGCCTCAGCCTCAGCCTGCCTCAGCCGCAGCCTGCATCAGCCTCAGCCTCAGCCTCAGCCTGCCTCAGCATCAGCCTGCCTCAGCCTCAGCCTCAGCCTGCCTCAGCCTCAGCCTCAGCTGCTTCAGCTCTCCAGCTCAGTCTGCCGTCGGCCTCGGCCCGCAGCTCAGCCTATCTTCAGCTCTTGCCTCAGCCTCAGCCTGCATCAGCCTCAGCCCTCAGGCTCAGCTGCCTCAGCATCAGCCTGCCTCAGCCTCAGGGCCTCAGCCCAGCCTGCCTCAGCCTCAGCCTCAGCCTGCTTCAGCCTCAGCCTCAGTCTGCCTTCAGCCTCGGCCTCAGCCTCCCTCAGCCTCAGCCTGCATCAGCCTCAGCTTCAGCCTCAGCCTGCCTCAGCATCAGCCTGCCTTAGCCTCAGCCTCAGCCTGCATCAGCCTCAGCCTCAGCCTGCATCAGCCTCAGCCTCAGCCTCAGCCTGCCTCAGCATCAGCCTGCCTCAGCCTCAGCCTTAGCCTCAGCCTGCCTCAGCCTCAGCCTCAGCCTGCTTCAGCCTCAGCCTCAGTCTGCCTGCAGCCTCGGCCTCGGCCTCAGCCTGCCTCAGACTCAGCCTGCTTGAGCCTCAGCCTCAGCCTCAGGCTGCCTCAGCTCAGCCTGCCTCAGCCTCAGCCTCAGCCTGCCTCGCCTCACCTCAGCCTGCTTCAGCTCAGCTCCCGCTGCTTCAGCCTCGGCCTCCGCCTCAGCATGCTCAGCCTCAGCCGCATCAGCTCGCCTCAGCTCAGCCTGCCTCAGCATCAGCAGCTCAGCATCAGCCTTAGTCAGCCTCAGCCTCAGCCTGCCTCTTGCCTCAGCCTGCTTCAGCTCAGGCAATCTGCTGTCAGCTCAGCTCAGCTCAGCCTGCTCAGCTCAGCCTTGCCATCAGCCTCCAGCCTCAGCCTCAGCCGGCATCTGCATCAGCTGCCTCAAGCTCAGCCTAAGCCTGCTCTGCCTCAGCATCAGCCTGTTCAGCCTCAGCCTCAGCCTGCCTTCAGTCCTCGGCTGGCCTCAGCCTGCATCAGCCTCAGCCTCAGCCTCAGCCTCAGCCTCAGCCAGCCTCAGCCTCAGCCTCAGCCTCAGCCTCAGCCTGCTTCAGCCAAAGCCTCAGTCTGCCTTGAGCCTTGGCCTCAGCCTCAGCCTCAGCCTGCCTCAGACTCAGCCTGCATCAGCCTCAGCCTCAGCCTCAGCCTGCCTCAGCATCAGCCTGCCTCAGCCTCAGCCTGCCTCTGCCTCAGCCTCAGCCTGCTTCAGCCTCAGCCTCAGTCTGCCTTCAGCCTCGGCCTCAGCCTCAGCCTGCCTCAGCCTCAGCCTGCTCCAGCCTCAGCCTCAGCCTGTCTCAGCATTCAAAATGTGGCCCGGGAATGGAATTCTGGGAACTCGAAGAACACGAAGTGGCCTACAGCTGGCTCCGGGCATTCAAAATCATGCCCAGGAATGGAATTCTGGGAACTCGAAGATCACGAAGTGGCCTACAGTTGGCTCGGGGCATTCAAAATGTGGCCCGGGAATGGAGTTCTGGGAACTCGAAGAGCACGAAGTGGCCTACAGTTGGCTCCGGGCATCCAAAATGTGGCCCGGGAATGGAGTTCTGGGAAGTCGAAGAGCACGAAGTGGCCTACAGTTGGCTCCGGGCATCCAAAATGTGGCCCGGGAATGGAGTTCTGGGAAGTCGAAGAGCACGAAGTGGCCTACAGTTGGCTCCGGGCATTCAGAATGTGGCCCGGGAATGGAGTTCTGGGAAATCGAAGAGCACGAAGTGTGTGACTGTATGCGAAAAACGATCCCCGCCGGCAAACCCCAACTCGTCCCCAACGGCTGCCCAGACCCCCCTGTGGAGTAATGTGCTGCTCTCTTTTTAGCCTATTAGAAACCTGCCAGTCTTCGATGTTAGGTAAAAACCAGCGATGCCATATCACGGGCCGGCGGATGAGCGAAGCGATTCAATAAAACATGTGAAAACAACACACCAAACTGGTCAGACAATACTGCAACAATCGTCCCTATACTACTTTTGGACTATGTTTGAATGTTTTCCTGTAGAAGGACAGGCCCGACTTACGCGTAGGGGGGGCGGAAGCGAGACTGCTCGGGCGATGACAGGTCTGCACATGCTCGATCCTGGCCAGGATAGGTGCATGTGCGCACTTCGTTTGCCCATAATCGGGAGTCGGAGGATAACGATGATGACGAGGCGAGGGGCGGAGGGAGAGAGGAGAGGGATGATTATGAATGATGACCGATGCTGGAGAAGAGCAGAGGCAAGAAACTATCTGCATTGAAAAACGATACACGGAACTGAAGCCTTTTAGGTATACACATACGCAGATATACTAGCGTGGAACCGTGGAATGAATTCAAAGGGTTGAGCGGGTCAAGGAGTGGTCTGGATAGACACTGCGATCGTCGTCGTCGTCGTCGATCGTGTAGTCGTCGTCGATGGTGTCGTCGTCGTCGTCATCGTCGTCGGCATCACTGTCCGTCGTCCGCGTCGTCGTCGTCGATGTGTCGTCGTCGATGTGTCGTCGTCGTAGTCGTCGTCGTCGTTGCAGCCCGCGTCGTCGTCGTCGTTGTCGTCGTCGTTGTCGTCGTCGTCGTCGTCCGTGGTCGTCGTCGTCGTCGCCGTCGTCGTCGTCGTCGTAGTCTTTGCAGCCATCGTCGTCGTCGTCGTCCCTCGTCGTCGTCGTCCCTCGTCATCGTCGACGTTGCAGCCGTCGTCGTCGTCGTCTTCGTCGTCGCTGTCGTCGTCGTCATCGTCGTAGTCGTTATCGTCGTCGTCGTCATCGTCGTCGTCGGCTTTGCGGACGTCGTCGTCGTATTCGGCGTCGTCGTATTCGGCGTCGTCGTATTCGGCGTTGTCGTCGTCGACGTCGTGTGTCGACATAGCCGCCGTCGTCTTCGTCGTCGCCGAGTCTACGTCGAAAAGGCGGAGGAAGCAGGGAAGGAGGAACAGCAGGGAGCGAGAACGTGTAGAAGCAGGAGCACCAAACATAGCATGTTGGACTGTACTCGGGCCGTCTGTGCAGAATGACGAAAATAAACTGTCTGCATTTCAAAAACACGGAGTTGAGCGGGCCAAGACGTACTGTCGCATGCTGGATGATCATCACGATCGTCGTCGTCGTCGTCGATCGTGTAGTTGTCGTCGTCATAGTCGTCGTCGTCATCGTCGTCGTGTCCGTTTTCCGCGTCGTCGTCGTCGTCGTCGATGTTTCGTCGTCGTCGTCGTTGCAGCCGGCGTTGCCGTCGTCGTCGTCGTCGTCGTCGTCGTCGTTGTGTCGTCGTCGTCGTTGCAGCCGTCGTCCGCGCCGTCGTCGTGGTCGTCGTCGTCGTCGTCCGTGGTCGTCGTCGTCGTCGCCCGTGGTCGTCGTCGTCGCCGTCGCCGTCGTCGTCGCCGTCGTCGTCGTTGCAGCGTCGTCGTCGTCGTTGCAGCCGCCGTCGTCGTCGTCGTCGTCGTCGTCGTCGTCGTCGTCGTCGTCGTCGTCGCTGTCGTCGTCGTCATCATCCGCAGGCGAGCTGGGCCGAGGGCGGGGCCCCTCCTGCGACGCCTGGGGCAGGAGCGCGCCGACGAAGACGCCCCCCAGGACGAGGGCTTTGTTGTTTGAAGGGGCCCACAAACACACAAATAAATACACACAAATAAAAAGATTTCCCATATTTTCCCACAATTTCGGGGTTTCTGTCTTCCCCCCCACTTCCCATATTTTCCAATATTTTCCTGGGAGGGGACGATTAATTGTGTCTGTGTGTTTTTTTCCTCCCGATTGTTCCCATTCTACTGCAGGGCCAAATCCCAGATGCACAGATGCAATTTCGAGCACCCAGGGCAGTCTCGAAACAGGGTCTGCCCGACACGCTGGCGAAAAATCGAACGACCATCGCCTCCCAGGGCCCCTCACACACACGAGGAGGCACTCAAAGTTCGGTACCTTCCTGGTGCTCGAAATTCTTTCTGGTGGTCCAGGCTGAAGTAGGTCGGAACATCGTGGGACGAGGGTAATATGAGGCGAGGATGAATCGAGATCCTCTGAGATTTGGCGGCCCTGGGGCATGTCTCGGGCGCCGCGGCCTTCTCAGAGCGCTCTGGAACGCTCCGCGAGCGTTCTGGCCCCGTCCAAGAGGCTCTTCCTGGAACGCCCGCTGAGATGGGATCGCCTCGAACACACAACTTTTAGCGTCGCAGCGCGGCAGAGCCGGTCAGCACGCACGCCCAAGCGGGCTGGACGACGGCAAGCGCGGAGTGACCGGCGGCGGGAGGAGGAACAGACAAGCGGAATCGGCCAGGGCTGAGTCGGGCGTGTCCCTCTATATGAGGAATTTGTTTTTAAAACATTGTCAACAAATAGTCCAGGGACGATTTCTTCTAATATTTGTTGTTGACCTTTTTGGCATATTTTTTTACTGTTTCATTTTGCCTCCAAAGTCCGCCTGTGGAGAGGGGACATGCCCGACCTAAGGCCGGGGGGCGGGAAGACATCGAAACAAAACAGCCGTATCCTTCGGTGACGCCCTCGGTGGCCCGGCTGGCGTCGCCGGCGACGTCGAAGCGGCAGCGCGCAACCACGCGCCGGCAGGGCGCCCCACCATCGGCTCCCGAAGGCAGCACGGCCGGTTCCTCTAGCTGCAGGGAGCGCACGAAGCCGAAGGCGCTCAGCTGCTCCTTCTAGGACGGGAATGGTCTCATGACAGGATTGGCTCAGGATGCGTTTCAGGATTTCGACAGCATCGAGCGGCCCTCGTTTCTGCAACCCCCGTGGAACATCGGGAAATCTAGGGAATCCGGGAAACCTTGGAACGCATCATTCTCAAGACGTCCTCTTGGCTCTTGGTCCTCCGACCTTCAGCCCGTCGTAATCCGGCTTCCCCTTGAAGCCAGACACCTCTCGGCGACTCCGAAGGGTGTGGTTTGCAAGGGTGTGGTTTACAGCCGGCACCCTGGGGGAGCACCCCGGGGGCGGGCGAGGACCTCGACAGAGCTCTCGGCTGCGTCCCGAAGAGGCCCGACGAGGACAGCGTCGCGCCCCCCAGGCCCCAGTGGTGCCGACCGCAAACCGCACCCCGGCGTAACCATACCCTCTGTTGGTTAAACCAACGGTACCGATACCGCTTCGGGGATCTCCTAGCCCGGGTCAATCAGACCCGGGTCAGCAGGATACCAAACAGCTGCAACGCAGGAGAAAAAACAAAAACTGCCACGCAGGGCTTCGCAAACCTGGGTCAGCCAGTATGCGCGGCAGCCTCGCGGCCACGAAGGGCTCGCGAACCCGGGTCAGCCAGGGAAGGGTAGAGGTACGAATATACCCTTCCCTCCTCCGATACCACTCCCAGACCCCCGACGTAATGTTTTTTCATTACGTCGACGCCCAGAGGTCCCGACCCTTTCCCCAAGACCGGCTTTGCATCCCGAGTCGTTTGTCGACGTTCCCGAGGCCCGGGGAGGGCCCCCTGGAGGCCGACAATGAAGGAAACACCGCCCGTCGTGATTTCTTCACTACTCGAGGGGTTCTGGGTCTGCAGCGGCCGAGCCTCGAGGACGCACCCGCGCTTCACCGGCAGCGGCTCGAAGGCCTCCCCCCGCCGCGGCGCGGCTGGCTCCTCTGGCCGCCGCAGCCGCAGCTCGAAGGTCCTGCCCGGCGCCCGGGTGGCCTGCAGCGCGTCCATCCGCGTCGCGGCGTCCACCTTGGCTGGGCCAGTCCTTTCCACCACCGCAGCCACGGGCAGGAGAGGGGGGAGGAGGAGGAGGAGGAGGAGGAGGAGGAGGAGGAGGAGGAGGAGGAGGAGGAGCAGGAGAGAGGAGGAGGAGGAGGAGGAGGAGGAGGGAGGAGGAGGAGGAGGAGGAGGAGGAGGAGGAGGAGGAGGAGGAGGAGGAGGAGGAGGAGGAGGAGGAGGAGGAGGAGGAGGAGGAGGAGAATGAGAATGATAATGACTGAAGACTAAGTCTTGACTCCGTGCTACACCGCTCTCTGACCGCCTCCAGCGACACGAGGAGAAAGAAGAGGACGGCGACAATGCAATACTCCACGCGCTGCATGTAGGCTGCACCATACGGGCGGCAACCGATTTGGAGACCATACCGGAGTAGGGGAAATTCCCGCGTGCACCCCATTGACGACCTCATAACCATTTCGATAATACAACCTGTACGAGCGACTGCAGCCACGACCGATTGAAGCATATACCCCGCACACAAGAATGCCAGCAATCCACGAAGCCCACTTCCAAGCAGGGGAATAAGAAGACTCCCGCGTACACCCAAAAACGAAACCTCCAAACCATTGCCGAAACATGCACAAATGACTGATAAGGATACGCAACACTGCATACACAAATGGCCACAATCTTGAAAGATGCAGAGCGGTACCGATGCCGATCACCAGAGCTTTCAAACTGACCATTGAAACAATAAACGCAGCATGTGAAGGTACAGCAGGTACAAAAAAGGCCGCAAGACCCTGTGGGTATGAACCCGGTGGGTATCCCATGGGCACAATAAAACAACTCGTACATATATTGAAATATACAAGCTGGGCCACCATACGCACTTTGAAGGCCCCGCAAATCGGGGAAGATGAACCCAACATCCCACGGACATCCACGAACGCCTGACAAGTGTCCCAGGTGGCATGCAACCATTGAATGAATTTGAACCTGACTCTGACACTTCGCCCCGCTCTTAGCCGACCCACGCCTCTGTGAATAGACGATGTCTAACATCCAGAGTTGCGAGAAGCCACAAGCACGCCGCGCTGAGGCGGCGGGGCAGGACCCATGACGCGCTTGAGCCAAAAAGGATCTACGCGCCTTGGGCCCAATGTGCTTGGGGGGAGGAGGAGGAGGAGGAGGAGGAGGAGGAGGAGGGGAGGAGGGGGAGGAGGAGGGGGAGGAGGGCAGGAGGAGGAGGAGGAGGAGGAGGAGGAGGTGGAGGAGGAGGAGTCCAGGAGGAGGAGGAGGAGGAGTCCTGGAGGAGGAGGAGGAGGAGGAGGACCTTACTATCCTCCTTTCTCCCCCGTCCTAACTGTGGTAGCGGTGGAAAAACGGCCCCTAACACCTCTTTGCCGTCCACGTGGGTGACGACCCAGCCCTTGTGCTCTGGGCCCATCCCCGCTCG